ATGTAAAATACGAGAGTACGCTATAAATTGGTACTGTATTTCACATTTTTAACGAATGAGTTCCTGTGGACTACGCCGAACTTGTATCCATTTTTGAAAGGTTTAAAATCTTTAAGATGTGCCGCTGACATAAAAGGTGTTCAATAAAGTGATAATGATGACACTACTTTGTTGTCTCTTTACTATAACCTCTAAATCAATGCATCCCACCTCATCCTCTCACATGCAGGATGAAGACCAACAAGTTAGAGTGGAGTTGAATAGCCTAGTGGTTAACATAACATGCTTGCCTTCCAATCCTAGGGTCCTGGGTTCACTTCCTGTCAGTGTTGTTTTTTCTGACGACCAAAACAACTCCACTCCCTAAATCTCATATTGAGATTTAGTTCGTGTAAGCATCGTGCGTGTGTTTGTCTTGTGAAAAGGATTGTCACCTACAAGTAGGACAGTGATATATTCGCTATTGACAATCCTTGGTACAGGTATTGTGTGCCTAAATAAAAGAGAAAGAGAGAAATGCTATCAGATCACCTATGTATATTCAATGAATTTTTAATCCAGTGTCCGGGGCAGTATCCAAGGTTGTGTTAAGGTGGAGGGTAGGCCACAAGGCTAACATGGTCGTCTAGGGGGGGGGGGGGGGGGCCGACAAAAATAAGGAAAAATGAATAGGGAATTGCATCTAAGACTTAAGACGCAATATAGACTTATGATTGTTTTTCATCAATCCGTGAACAAGTTTTATATTTCAAATGAAAATTTTGAGAACTTAAGTTTATACTGATTTTGTCATTGTTGCACATCTTTTACGGTTGTGCCTCTGTTATAAAAGAGATGCAATCAAGTGACTTACTCACTAATTTACAGACGCATTTTTAAGAAACAACGTTGTGTCGGTGGTGTAGTGGTTAACATAGTTGCCTTCCAAGCAATTGTCCCGGGTTCGATTCCCGGCCGACGCACAGTGATTTTCTTTTCTATGGTTTTGAAATTGAATTGTCTGGTATAATCAATTTCTAAAACTAGTACATTGGCAATTGAGTGGATCTGCGTCTCAGTTTAATAAGTTGATTTTCCTTTGAACTGGTCAAATAAATGTTTTTACCAATTTTATTACATATAATGTTACACCACTGTTAATGTTGTGCTATACCAAAACCAAATCCATTTCTATTATACAAACGTTTTAAGTTTAATATGTTTCATCAATGAAACTGTTATTAAATTTTGTTTATTTAAATGTAATTTGGTTATTATATTTAAACCTTGCAGCCCTATGCGCTAAATAACAGTTGTGTACCGTCTACAGTACTTGTATCATTACGGTTACCTTGTAAAGAGAATAGTGTGTCAAAAATGAACGGAAAATTATTAAATAATAATAATTTCCATAAATAATCGGTGTATATTATTATTTTTTTTCTATCTAAAAGGGCAATTCTATGTCTACCTATTCCACCAAATAATAATGCATTAAAATGTCAACCTGTGACGACTGTATATTTTAGGCCTAAGTAGTTTCATATTTACACATTATGGACTTCGGTAGGTCGGAGAAAAACATAAAGGACTGAGATATAATAGGCTTAAGCAGAAACTGAAACATTACCAACCAGCACAGTTTTTTTTTTTTTTTTTTTTTTATTGGTTGAAAATAAAGTTATAAGAGGACGGTGTGTGGGTGTAAAAGGGAAGTTAATAACTTTGCGCGTAAACAGTCCGTGTGGACAGTCGATTATTTTGCAAGAAACCCCGTGAATAATTAATGGTAAGTCGACAGCGTACAATAGGGATATTCAGAAAATCGACATTGGGTGTTGTTTCGCATTTATATGGAGGAGGAGTGTTTTTTATATTCGAGTGTTTTATGAAGTCTTACACTGTTCTCAAGAGTAACCTCACAGGACAAGCAAGCCTATTCAGGAAATTCCGAATTGTTGGAACTTCACAAGAAAGTCCTTGATTTTTTTTTGTTAATAAACTGATGTAATATAAAAGAAAAAATGTTTAATAAAATGCCTCTGGCGTGACCTGTCGCTGTCAAGGCAAGCGTCATAACCATTAGACCACGGAGGCTTCGCGGTTGAACAGATTCAAATACCACCAGATACATTCTATTACACAAGTGTAATAGAATGTATCTGGTGGTATAAGTATACTAGAAGTTGATAATGTGCTATAGTAGTGGAATTTCCTAATACGTTTGGTGCACTGTCCCGCCGCCACCTACCGATTTTGCAACAAAGCACGCAGAGGATTGTGTAATTCCAATGAACATTCCTTTTTGTTAATTAGAAAATGAACATATTGTATGGCGCTTTACTTTTATTTATTGCACACGTTAAAAAAAAGTCTATGTCTACAGAAAATGTTTCAATAAATGCCTCATTTGATTAGTGATTTTTTTTCACGAGGGCGTTTATTACATATTTGAGGGGAAAAAATTCACACAATGCTAATAATAGAAAGTACGGATAATGGCCTAACACCTATAAAGTGTCACGCCAAAACAACTTGGGGAAAGCTAAGGCTTCTTCGGGCCCTACGCTCTGGGGGTTGAGTCCGGGTATACAAGCCATACGAAACAAAACCCGCTTCGGTGACTACGACGTCTAATGGCGTATTATGATGTTTTTTTTTTGTATATATATATATTTTTATAATTTATATCACGGATAATGTCTTAGACATGCCGGGCCATGTTAGGTTGGTTACAGTGTGATATATCCTTTTGCGACCCAAGAAAATCGTCTGAAAAAACCCCAAAATATTAGGATTTTGTTGTCGTCATTGCAAAACACAGGACCATAAAACTAAATTCTATATTTATGTTTCTTTAATAAAAATCATTCTCCCTCAGTGTTACTTTCCCATAGCATCGAAAGGGTTCAATCTAAGTTTATGTATTTTAATAATTATAATTTTAATAATTATATCAATTTTGCACCAAATGTATTCCTGCACGTGAAGAAGAATATTAGGTATGTTTTTTTGATGTACGACTTCACAATTTTTTTTTCTCTCTATTTCGTTCCAACGTCAATAAACTTAACCCTTGATTCATTTGAGTTTTACTTACCAAAGTAAGTTTACTCAAAAATAGTTACATTTATCGTTTAGCTCATATTTGAAGTTTATCACAGGAAGAATCTGCTGTCGACACATTTACATCAACGTTTGAGTTAATTTAAGACCAGCTAATTACATTTATACTTATTTACTGTTTTAAGATTCATTGATTGTTGTGTTTGGGCTGGGGCTAAGTTTGTTATTTAAGTAGATTTTTATTGCTTGCGCGTTCTTGGTGTTAATTTGTATTCTTCTGTGTGCTTTTTCTGATGTTCAATTTCAAAACATCCTGCAATTGACACAGTACAGTAATGCTGTAGAATGTGGTTTTCGAAAAATAAAATATAATTAAAAAATCTAGAGTCGGGATCTTAGTCGGATGAGTCCATGGGCTTTAAGTTGAGGGCATCCGTTTTTTTTTTTTTTTTTTTTTTTTTTTTTAACTAGATCAGACGCCGTTACTATTTTTTGAATACGTCTCGTCAACAGATTTACAGATTTCACACCCTATTGACATTTCCGATTTATAGGATTACCACCGCAAAAAGAGGACAAGGGAGAAACTTCAGAATTTCGCATTTCCATCAGGCACTATAGACCCTGAATAAAACCTAATTTAAAATTTGAATTACGTAATTATTTCTATTATTATTAAATGGTCCAATTATTTGTAATAAAGAAACAACAACACCGATGGACAGATGCATAGTTTACCGTATGTTAACATAGATCGTGGCTGAGATCAGGTCTAATCTGTAAACATTTTACCCGGATCTAAACTTAATCATAAATCCTAATAGACCTATTCCATCTATTAAATAATTATTATGACAAGTATTTTACTGTATGTCGATCAATGTATGCTATTGCACGGTAACGGTGTTGTGGCTCTCATTGGCTAAAGCCAGGGCCCCAGGTCTTGAAGAAGTCCCTGGATTATTTAGCAGCATTTTTGCCCTATACGAAAGAACCCATCCAAATTTCCCTAAAACGTCAAATACGCCGAAGCGGCCGGGCCTTTCCCTGGGATGAGACCCCGAGGAAATATTCTGGGGTCTTTGTTACGCCAATGCCAATAGTGTACTACAGTATACCAAAAACTTAATTTCCATATACCTAAGTTTTCAAGATGTCTGGACCGTAAAATGAGGATTATATATCTTTGTTACACATATAAGCTTTTTATTATCTCGTGCGTGTATATACATGGCATGTATGTAAATCTCTGTCTGAACTAATCAAATTCCAATTTAAAGTTATATACATCAATATTCCTATTTGAACTATTGTATTATTCATATACAGTATAATTCAAGTTTGTTGGCTTGGAAATATTAGACCAATGTGTGTGTGTGTTATATAATACATTACTTGTCATATGGTTTTCTTGACAAGAGGAATTAATGAACAACAATAATCAATTACTGGTACTGTATATTATTATAATTTTTATATTTTTTCATTAAAAAACTTCAGTATTTGGTTATTTCAAAAGATTACATCTTGTGGCTCATACTATGCGCTATAAATTGTTGTGTGTATTCGGTACTTGTACGGTTATCATAAGAGAAATGTGTGTCAAAAATGAACGATAATAATAATTGCCCATCAGTGGTACTGTGTATTATTATTTTCAGTGTAAATGTAATTAAATCAACCATTTGTTGACTTCTCGTGGCCAAACAGCTAACAGTGTGTGTGAGAGTTAAAATATTAGTACGTTAACTTGCTTTTCTGACCACCATTATTGATTCGTCGGTCGATGTTGTTGGCGTTCCATATGTAGTATTTATTTAAAAAAATAACCACACTTTTGAAATCGATTGAGTAATTAATCATTAACAAACTTCACAGTCGCTCGCAATCACAGCACTATCCTCTCTGCTATCGCATTCATCTCGTAACATAAATAAATACAATTATAACAGTAATCATTTTCAAATTGATTTTGTAATGTTTATTGTAAATTTTTCATTATTTTCGTAAAACCACAGAATAACCACAGTGATTAGCATAAATATAAAGGCTAACATAAATGACGAATTCAACAAAGTGCGATTTCATAAATTAATATTTGATCATATGCAAATGAGCAAAAGCTACAAGTGTAGATCATAAAACATTAATAATAATCATAAGTACTTTATCGAATTAATACATATAAAAATAACTGTGCATCTTCGCACTTGTTTATATAAAAATCTTTCTATTTACAAGGAATTATTTAATTTTTTAAGCATTTATTTAAAAAATGTCTAAACCGGAAGATAAATTCGGCAAATGTGAGTTGTACGGTACCAACTCTATGAGGGAACCAGCCCGGTGATCTTAAATGATTGTCAAAACACCAATAATTCCAAATATACGATTGCACATGTACAACAAGTCTCTAGGTTGCTAAGTGAACTACGAGTTAGACATCTAACCCACGATGGTCTCTCCGGCAATTAAGCAAAACCGCAACCGATTTGTAGACTTCACGCAAATACTTCCTCAACGGAAACAAGTTGTAAAAACTTTTTAGCTGCACACACGATGTTAATGTGTACGCAATAGGATGTGCTTAAAGCACTTTACCTTCCATCTCTCTTTAAATTGTTCCAGCTAAACCATACTATCACAATACATAACGATGTTAACACACAATATGCATACTAAATGATAAAAAACATACATAATTCACTGGAACAGTTATACTATTCGAGGTTACTTAAAATGGCAAGTACAAAATTTGTAATATTTACGCCTGTTTTTTTTTTTAACATTTAAAGAACTCTTCGAATAGCACCTTTTCGCCACTTCGACGCCATCATCCATGCCTCAATCCGAGGCTGGACTGTTGGCAGAGGCTAGCTTTTTCGTCGTTCTGTGCGCGAGACACGACACCCATGGCAAATTACAAATGCTTGCACAAGGCAATGCATTTATTTAACATTAAAAATGTCACTAGTGACTAGTTAAAAATGCCAAAATAGGTTTAAAAGGAAGCACAGTCAGACCAAGGTCTGAGTGCAGAACCATGTTTACATGTGACGCTTCATGTGAAGCGACAAGTGATCAGAACGAGAGAATGCCCGTTCGCAGAGATGACACTGGAAAGGTCGATCCCCAGTGTGTTTGCGGTAGTGCCTGGTTAGCTCATCCGATCTGGCAAACTTCCAACCACATCCCTTCCAGTTGCACGCATACGGCTTCTCCCCTGTGTGGGTTCGGAGATGAGCCTTGAGATGCGAGCTCTTGGTGTAGGTTTTGTTGCAGCCTGGATGTGAGCACGTGTGTGTGGTTGTTCGCTTTCTACCCCAGGTTCGGCGGCCTTTTCGACGGTTCACCTGTTGACTCTGAAGAGGTTGCGATGTCAAGACGTTCTCGTTTGATGAGTTGATAAGAAGGTCCATAAGCGGAGATGTTGGTGGTGTGTTATGTGCACCGACCATATGTTGAGGTTGTTGTAACGCCATTGCAACTAGCTGTGGGCTCAGTTGAGATTGATTAAATCGCTGAACCTTCATTGGTGGCTCAGATATACACTGTTGAGGAGACTCGGGTGGCGACAGATAACCATGCGGTGTCAACATACATGGAGACAAGCCGTACATAGACTTTTGTTGATGCATTTGTTCTTTTGGAATAGCAACTGTCAAATGTGTAAGGTCGGAATGTCCAAAAACATTGTCCAAATCCGCTCGCATGAGTGGACTGTTCGGTTCTTGTTTTATCATCATAATCCCCACTGATGAATCGTCATTGTAGAATCGCTGTTCTGCGTTTGAATTGTTGAGGATAAAGTCCAAGTCAAGCAGGTCATCATAACACTCCCCGACCGATGAGGCTGGAGGCGAAGAGCACACGCTTGATGAACAATCGCTTACAGAACCAAGGCTATTAATTGGCGAGCAGGTCTCTGCACGTTGCTGGCCTATGTTTTGATCCCAGTCGTGTAAAAGCGACTCAACATCATTCAAAACCTGAGGTGGAAAAACAGATGAAGGATAGTAAGTCGTTTGTGGCATATAAATCCATGGCATATAACAGTAAGCCATTTTAAAACGTGCACACGCTATTAACACTCAACACAATATGAAGCTGGCTAGGCTTCTTGGAATGTATGCCCAGGTGAATCGCCACTGCCAGTCACGTGTGTACAAGATTAGAATAGAATCAACAAGTATTGAATAATTATAAGTTGAATGGAAAACATGGTCCAGACGCCTAGAATAAAAGCGCGAGAAAGCCAATGCATTCATTAAAACAATGCAACTAATTTTGAGCCAACAATTTAATTTGAAAAGCTGGCAGCAGGCTTTTCAATTGGTTGCTTGGTATCGTTGTTTTGTTTTATAAAAACAGAATGACACTGAAATATCAAATTAAAGAATGCAATCTTGGAAGTTCACACATTGCCAAAGTACAATTGCATAGTACTATTTCATAAGTGTACATGTCATGTGCACGAAAAAAAAATTTTGATCACACAACACATCTAGACTTATGACTTATGCCTATTACAAATACATTATTATTTAGTAAACTAATATGTCAAACTTCAACTATCCATGCTTGCTGACCTAAACAGACTTTTTTGTATCGTATGCATTTAAAAATATAAGAAACTTACATTCATCATTCCCATGTCGAAGTCAGATATTCCAGAGTTGAACGCTGAAGGCATTTCGCAAGCCAAAACAGCCATTTTATTTTGAATTGGTGAAAATGTTTTTAAAATATTAAATTCACAGAGGCACACTCGTGAGAAATTGTGGTCAATCTGTTCAAAACATGTACATCAGTAGTTATAAGCCATACTATACTCATAAAGCCTCAACCAATCACAGACACCGCTCTCTGCTCAGCCAATCAGAAGCTGAGGCTATATTTAGACGGTATATAAGCAAGCTATCGTTTCGAGCGAGCTCTCAGTCAAGCCGCTGAGAGCATCCTGACACGGCACTTCTGCTTGTTGCTATGACGATATTGAATAAACATGAATAAACATTGCCATAACAAAAGTGGAACAAAAGCCGTGTTTACAAACTATTTCCTATTCGTTAACGATTGAGCTAAATGACGTAAGCTGGTTAAGTCTGCGAAAAGTTCACGGATAGAGGTCAGTCTAGTGGAAATTTGAAATATGGTAATTTTGTATTTATCAGCCGGGTCCTTCCGTCTATTTTTATCCCGCTATATAAGCTGAGCGCTGGCGTGACTCAGTTATCATTCGATCGAATGGAACGGTCGGGGATGTTCGGATCTCAAGAATTTTCAAGCTGCTGCAGTCTCGGTTATGATTTATAGGAAGGATTTCATTTTGTTATACAACGATAAGACCTGTCATGCTTAGCCTAATTTCAAATGCCGAAATGATTTTAAACAATTTCTGTTGTAGACTTTAGTAAAAAAAATAGAAAATAATTAGGAAATATACACATAAAAAATAAACCATATAGGCCTGAATTTTGAAGAATTTAAAGTCTAAAATTCAGCATGTCTAAATTTTGAAGTTGATACAGTAATTTATTTGATATTTTATTTGACCGATTGAATTAAATATTGTAAGGTGTTATTTTTACAATTTTTGCAGTATATGCCTATTTAAAGATACCGGTACCACATATAAAGCATTTTAATTAAAATACATTCCAACAAACTTTTTTTTTTATATAATTTATCTTATTATCATATTTTATTTGACCGATTTAGTATTTTAATTAAAATTTTTAAGGCTTTATTTTTAAAATTTGCAGTATAAGCTTTAAAGATACCATAGGCCTATAGTATAAAAAACCATTTCAATTAAAAATAAATTCCAACAAACCTTACTATAATTAATATTATTTTAATTATAATTATTAAGCCTGTAACATCATCATTTATAGTATAATATATGTCATTATTATTGATAGGGCCCTAATATTTTTATTTTAGCCTACATTGTAAAAGTTACAATAAAGCATGCCTGGTAAACCGAAAGTGCATTGGCCTGTGAAACATTCGATCGTGTGATCTATTTTTTTTATTCTATGTATAGTCTATTATTATTATTATTATTATTATTATTATTATGTCAGTTGTCAAAACAGACATTTTCTGTTACACCTTACTATACAACAGCATTGATTTTTCCTTTCGCTTTTCATTTGTAATGGTAGTTTCGTGTAATTTTACAATCTGAATATTTTTGTTTATGTTTAATAAAACGGAAGACAATTCAATTTTTATCACTTTAAAACGAAGGAAACTCTAGGCCTACGGCATAAACTCCTAACCTTTCCCCAGGAACACAGTAATCTTATTGTAGTTCTTAAATATACAGGCATGGAAACGTAATGACTTTGCGGAGGCAGTTATAATAATTCACTTTATTATTTTGGTAGATATACTCCTGATCATAATTTTAAATTAATTGTCAGTCAAAACGCCAAAACGTGAGAAAAACTGCCAAGTCATGAGGCATGTTTTTATCCACATCTTGGGGTATAGGGTGGTCGCCGTTCGTCTTTGGATTACTCATCACATGATCATCGTCGTAACCTTGATGCTCCAGTATATCCATCACTGACAGGTATTTATTTATGAGACCGAACGTGTATTGGCAAATTGTTATTGCACGATTACAACTACTTTGACACCTTGTTGTGTAACGTATTAGCTGTCGTAAATAATAACGGCCTTTTTAAATGTTCCCTGTATATATTCGCGCCTAATAATATTATGTTCCTATAATACGTCAACTGTGTATGATTTTTATCATCTAGATGTGTATAAGAGACAGGTTGCACGCATACGGCTTCTCCCCTGTGTGGGTACGGAGATGAGCCTTGAGATGCGAGCTCTTGGTGTAGGTTTTGTTGCAGCCTGGATGTGAGCACGTGTGTGTGGTTGTTCGCTTTCTACCCCAGGTTCGGCGGCCTTTTCGACGGTTCACCTGTTGACTCTGAAGAGGTTGCGATGTCAAGACGTTCTCGTTTGATGAGTTGATAAGAAGGTCCATAAGCGGAGATGTTGGTGGTGTGTTATGTGCACCGACCATATGTTGAGGTTGTTGTAACGCCATTGCAACTAGCTGTGGGCTCAGTTGAGATTGATTAAATCGCTGAACCTTCATTGGTGGCTCAGATATACACTGTTGAGGAGACTCGGGTGGCGACAGATAACCATGCGGTGTCAACATACATGGAGACAAGCCGTACATAGACTTTTGTTGATGCATTTGTTCTTTTGGAATAGCAACTGTCAAATGTGTAAGGTCGGCATGTCCAAAAACATTGTCCAAATCCGCTCGCATGAGTGGACTGTTCGGTTCTTGTTTTATCATCATAATCCCCACTGATGAATCGTCATTGTAGAATCGCTGTTCTGCGTTTGAATTGTTTAGGATAAAGTCCAAGTCAAGCAGGTCATCATAACACTCCCCGACCGATGAGGCTGGAGGCGAAGAGCACACGCTTGATGAACAATCGCTTACAGAACCAAGGCTATTAATTGGCGAGCAGGTCTCTGCACGTTGCTGGCCTATGTTTTGATCCCAGTCGTGTAAAAGCGACTCAACATCATTCAAAACCTGAGGTGGAAAAACAGATGAAGGATAGTAAGTCGTTTGTGGCATATAAATCCATGGCATATAACAGTAAGCCATTTTAAAACGTGCACACGCTATTAACACTCAACACAATATGAAGCTGGCTAGGCTTCTTGGAATGTATGCCCAGGTGAATCGCCACTGCCAGTCACGTGTGTACAAGATTAGAATAGAATCAACAAGTATTGAATCTGTCTCTTATACACATCTAGATGTGTATAAGAGACAGATTCGAGGTTACTTAAAATGGCAAGTACAAAATTTGTAATATTTACGCCTGTTTTTTTTTTTAACATTTAAAGAACTCTTCGAATAGCACCTTTTCGCCACTTCGACGCCATCATCCATGCCTCAATCCGAGGCTGGACTGTTGGCAGAGGCTAGCTTTTTCGTCGTTCTGTGCGCGAGACACGACACCCATGGCAAATTACAAATGCTTGCACAAGGCAATGCATTTATTTAACATTAAAAATGTCACTAGTGACTAGTTAAAAATGCCAAAATAGGTTTAAAAGGAAGCACAGTCAGACCAAGGTCTGAGTGCAGAACCATGTTTACATGTGACGCTTCATGTGAAGCGACAAGTGATCAGAACGAGAGAATGCCCGTTCGCAGAGATGACACTGGAAAGGTCGATCCCCAGTGTGTTTGCGGTAGTGCCTGGTTAGCTCATCCGATCTGGCAAACTTCCAACCACATCCCTTCCAGTTGCACGCATACGGCTTCTCCCCTGTGTGGGTTCGGAGATGAGCCTTGAGATGCGAGCTCTTGGTGTAGGTTTTGTTGCAGCCTGGATGTGAGCACGTGTGTGTGGTTGTTCGCTTTCTACCCCAGGTTCGGCGGCCTTTTCGACGGTTCACCTGTTGACTCTGAAGAGGTTGCGATGTCAAGACGTTCTCGTTTGATGAGTTGATAAGAAGGTCCATAAGCGGAGATGTTGGTGGTGTGTTATGTGCACCGACCATATGTTGAGGTTGTTGTAACGCCATTGCAACTAGCTGTGGGCTCAGTTGAGATTGATTAAATCGCGGAACCTTCATTGGTGGCTCAGATATACACTGTTGAGGAGACTCGGGTGGCGACAGATAACCATGAGGTAAATAATAAATTTAACAGTGTTAACGGCTATCTTGATTTATTATAAGATATTGTACTCAAAACGAACGGACTAAGTTATCCTCGGTCATTGTGCTTAGAAAAGAAATAGTAATATATTATAGCCTATTACTATTTATTATTACTACTACTACGATTTTAAATTCATCTTACGATGGATATGGATATATTATGTCAAATTACACAATATAGAAAAAAAAATTAGAAGGGGAAACAGTCTGTGGAGGGAGCACGGAGGCCCCTAGTGCAAAGTAATTGATTAAATATATACATCGAAACAATATGAAATATATGTATTTTAGGCCTATAGGCATAGGCCTATTATACCTACCAACATACGGTACCACATAAACCGTAAAGCTGACCCCCAATTCTGAATTTGGTCAGGATTAGGTCTGTACAATGCGGTAATTTTATTCTCAATTCGATGAATTCAGTAAAGATTAATTTACACATGATTTGCTTCTGAGTCTACGTTGATTTTAATTTTGTTTTCTTGATATTGTTTTTATTTAATTAGATTTAGTGTAGTATTGTACTGAATTACGTCCAACCATAGGAATAAAGTTATTCCTCCGCGGCCAAACTGGGTGATAAACTATTTTATTTTTATAGGGCCTAACATACTGATTTATAATTGTAAAGTTATACTTGTAACCTAGTAGATAATAATAGGTTTTAATTACTGCAATAGGCCTATATAATTATATTAACCTCCATTATATTTATCTCTTTCTTTGTCTTTTGTGATCATGCTTTTAATAACAGTAGTTGAGCGAACAATACGTCGTCTTTTAAAATCATCCGCTACACATTTTTTTTCTTTATAAGAACCAGTAAATTTTTGCCCAGGCTCAGTGTTATTATTGTTTTGGCCGATTTCAGGCTCAAAATGTTCTTATTTTGTTCTTATTTTACACACTTTTCAAACATAGAAAAGTATTATTTTACAGCAGTATACACTGTACTGGAATGTATGTACTGTAAAAGTGGTCCTTGCAAAAGGCTCCAGGAAAAAAAATGGCCCCAGAAAAAGGCCCTCGTAAAAATGTATCCCAAATGTACAGGTAGGTACACCTACTGTACTGTGTATAGAGGGTATAACATACTCACACCTACTGCACATGAAGTACAGATATAATTTTTTAAATTTTTTTTTTTTGGTATTTCTAGTTATTTTCAATAAAGATCTCATTTGACACTTTAACTCAGCCTTAATTTGTTCTTATTTTGTTCTTAATTTTTAAGCAATTTCAGCCTCAGTGTTCTTATAAAATGTGTTCTTATAAAAAAAAAAAAAATGTGTATTGTAGTGTCATCACATCTGCGGACAGTCAGGGTGGCCATTGCACGATGAGGCTATAGGTCCGCAGCACAGTAATATTTTGTTATTAAAATTTAGGAATACCGTGTTCAACTTCAGTGATATCAACTTAAGTTGTGTGAATGAATCCAGAATAAATACAATTTTTTTTAAAGTACAGATTTATTTGTTACATTTAAATTTTATGATCACATTGATAATGAACGAAGTTAAGCTATAGGCATTTAATGTAACATGACAGAAAGCAATGGCTTGAGTATATAAGGAATACTCGCAAATTAAACTTTCTTTCTCTTGGTATTTAGCGCATTTTCTTATTCTCAGAACAGTATAGTTGGCAACACAGTTTAGTTGGCAAATGTAGTTGAAAAGCTGTCATCTAGACAAAATGAAATAGTTCCTAACACAAGGGCAGCTGCCGCCGAGCGTGCTACAAGTGACTCACAACAAACAGGTTCTTTAAGAGTTGCTGGCACCTATGGTACATTCTCTACGGAGGCGATTTGACTCAGTCACTCGCGAGAATTGCAAGTCAACCTGTAATTCATAGGTATATCCCGAAACGAATATAAATACGTTTTATACAGTGTTCAGTGTTTACAATTTAACAATAAGTTAGTTATACATTCCATCACGATTGTCTTACAATAAAACATGAAGGTCAAGCAAATTGCGCATGTCACGTCGTGCCAAACTGAACAAGGATACTGTATTTGAATACATTGTCTCTGTGTGTTGAGTTGAGTGCAGTTAAATAAACGATCCTAATTGTTGTAATCGTACGACACAATACAGTATACTGTGGCTGCCGCGGGGTATGTTAGCAAAAAAGAAAGTTACAGGTTACTACATGGTCTTACTGCAAAGCCATTGTCGAGGTATTCATCCGTGTAGTAAAATATTTGTTTATTTGTTTTTGGTTTTTTTTTGTGTGTGTGTTTTTTTTTTTTTTTTGCGATCTGATTTGTCATTGATGGTTTAACATAAAAGGGGGTTTCCATCTTGCTTATATTTATTTCTAACACTTTTGAAGTAGGCGGTCTCGTTTAATCCGACAAAATGTTGCAAATAAATATAATAGAGAAATGCACAAAAAAATAAATTACTATTATACTAGGCCTAGTATAACACAAACTTTAGTAAAAATAATAATAAGATATCATTATAAGTTCAATTATTTTCTCGTGTGTGTTAAGCAGAATTGAGACCCAAAATAGATTTAACTACCTAGGCTTATAAAAACACCTAAATGAAAAAATGGGCCCAACTTTAATTTTATGAAATAGAAAATAGTAGAATAAAAACATTAGGCCTACAGATGAAAATTTTGCGTATTTCACGTAAGAATAGCTGGTTGCATACAGCTATCAAAAGAGAGCCTTTCAAAGTAAATAATGTCCACAGGCTTAAATCATGCCCCGCTAGGTGAAAAAACCTGTGTTTGAATAATTTTTAATAGTAGCACCACTTTTGATTATGGGGTCAGCGTAATGCTCGTTCTACACTACCGATCTGGCTATGGAAATCGTAGGTCTAAATAATTGCTTTTAATATAATGTGTATATAACTATAAATCCATCTTTTTTCATTCTAATGATGACGGTCAGTCGGAGCAATCTCACCGAAACGTCGAGATAATAATCAACTAATGGTTTTATTTCAACTTTAATCTCACACATGGTATTACCGAAAGCGTTATTATTTTATTATTGACACTCGCCATGCAAACCGTCAAGACACATTAATATGAAAATCGCCTTTAATAGTATACTTTATTACCGCAGGATGTTTACAAGCTAAATAACATATACCCCGTACAGGATTTTTGTTAAGGAGACTATACTAATCCGAGGAAACCGAAACAATTACCAAGGAATTCCATTATTTGTTGTAACTTTGTGGTGTACTGTTCAAGCTATTGTGTTTTGTGGCATACCGATTAGTATCAGAACAATGCACCCTGCATGAAAGGAATGGCAAACGTATATGGAACCAGGAACAGACTGGGTTCAGTTGATACTGAATGAACACTGATATTACCATTTCCAAGGTACCAGTTCATCCGTGTCACCCAAGGCACGAATTCGTTCCCGGGAAATTTAATTTAATTATGTTTAACTGGATATACAATGTTATGCCACGTGGTTTGGTTATCGAAACTTCGAGAATGAAGTTCAGATTCCGTATATTGCTCATCACATAAAAAATACATGAACATTTTTTTCAAGAGTTGCATAAATTTCATTAAAAGATTTTAGTACTATAGTTCCATTAAAGACATTAAAAGAGATATCACAAAACCAAATAAAACTACGAAAACACATTAATTAAAGTTTCCTCTTATAAAATTTGTTTTAGTTAGAAAAAAAAGAAGATCATGCCGCCACATGGAATTTAACCCAGGACCCACCTCGGAGATGTGCCAAAACGCATATTAAGAGGACGTTACAGTTTTTTGTTTGTTTGTTTGTTAGTGTTCCCAAAATACTGTAGGTGCACCCCTTTAGAGACATGATAATTAGCAGGAGCTATCGAAATATCCGTTTGATCTGAATAAAGTTGTATTCCGCAAGTCAACTTCCAATTATTGTACACCGTTTTTTCATTGTTTTTACATTTTATTTCACTTGGAGCATACATGCAAACCCACTCTTCAATATATCTCTTATACACATCTAGATGTGTATAAGAGACAGAAACTGAACAAGGATACTGTATTTGAATACATTGTCTCTGTGTGTTGAGTTGAGTGCAGTTAGTTTCCCGCCTTTATTTTCAATCAATGTCATATTGTATATTATCCAACGCTGTACACAATTGTTATTCGGCATATTATACATTAGGCATTACAGTACCTTACATTTTTGTTAACATATACTCATGCTGCGCTTATACACAATATAATTAATATGATTAATCAAATTAATTTTCAGGTTAATCAATTCGTTTGTCATGCGATTTTTTGGCGCAGAAACATATTCTCGTTATAATTTCCAGTTAAAACATTTTACTACTGCAACGAGAGTAATTGAAATATTGAATTTTATTTTCAAGTTGAGTTTCTTAACGTTAAGGGTCACAGTTCACATTGTTTTGGTTATTATCCTAATTCGAGTTTTTGTCGCAATGATGATAAATTATGCAAGTCACAAACAAATCTGGTGTATTATGCCCATAATATACAGGCCTAACTGCGACTTTCGTTTTCAGGAAATATTTCGGAAATATCTTTTCAGCAAATAATTGAACTAGTTTAGCCTATTATAAGTGTCCGGTTAATACGATGATGAATCTATCATGGTTTGCCTCTATCTGGGCATTAGCAAACGAGGACGTCATACAACACAGTGAGTATACAGGATAGCCTTCACCAGGCGCGAAATAACGCATGCACTCTCATGCTGAAGTCCACAGCCCCCTAACCCCACCAATTTTTTCCCCAAAGGGTCTTAGACAGTCACATAGGGCCACGACCGGATCTTAACCATAGAGGCTATGACCTGACAAGACCCTGAATGCTGGTCGCCAAAATAAGACAATCTAATTGTACGGTATCTATCTCAGGTCCCGTGGGTAATAACCAAATGAACCACCTAGGCCTGTTTTATACTTGTTTAAATTTTTTAATGACACAATATTTTTTTTTTTTTTT